ATCGGTGACGGTGCGCGGTTTTCAACTACACCTACAGAAGACAGACGTAAGTACTAAATAGACGTAGATGTATATTTATTATTTTATAATTCCTATATATGAAGAATTAAGAAATAAAATATGGACAGAGAATAAAGCAAATTTCCAATGAAAGTTTACAGGTAATGAGGTATTTGTGTATTATACATGTAATGTTTCAGACTTTATCCAGGGAACTTTATACACCTGGATTCGTATGCATAAAAATTCTTAAGTCCTTAAGCATATACTTAAGTACTGTTTTTCTGCTTAGCAGATTGAAATTTTACTTAGCATATTGCTTAATTTGTTGCATAAAACTTCTCAACTCCTAAGTATATGCTCAGCATATGCTTAAAGTTAAGCATGGTCTATACCTGTCTTAAGTTCTTAAGCATAATGCCTAAGATATTTAAAAAAAAAGGAATTAGCACAAAAATAATTTTACAAAATGAAAGAAAAGTATGAACAGTAATGAAATCAATGGAATAATTAAATTACAATTTTAGTGTCTTTACAAATGCTAGCAATTTTGTATCTTAACAGTTTAAAATAAGACGTCATTTCATTGTTACGTAGTTTGTTATGTCTAGTACTTGTGACAATGCAGTGTATTCGGAAGAACCCTTTTCGAGTTTACCAGTGCAATGAACATCTAGATCTTGTTCACTTGTTTCGGAAATACTTTTTTTTTAGCCTTGTCATAGTATAATTAGTAAATATCCAATGGTTAAAAATATTTCTGAAACAAGTGATCTAGTTAGGTTAAATTATTTTTTTTTATTTCATACCAACACAATTTACATGTATTCAGTATCCCATATGATATTACACATATTGGTAATATATACAATCATTCAGTTGACACGTAGAAAAAGATGTCAATAATGTCTAAAAATTTAAAAAGCTCAAAACTACTAAGTAATGAAAGAGAGAAAAAGAGAGAGAGAGAATCAATGAATGTAATAAGAAAAAAGCGTTTAATAATATTACACATAAGGTTATATACATAAATTTGAAACGAAACTTAAATCCATCGTAGAAAGAAGAGTACATACACCTTATCCTTCTAATCTCTAAAAAATAATTTCAAATCAATTTCATTTGCTCTTTTTCTCTCAATTGCACCACCTTTAATCTACATCCTCCACAGTTTATTTATTCTCTCCCTCTCTCTTTTCTTTAAATTGTCTGAGTAAACGGTACCTAAAATCATAACCATGTCATCAATATCAAACAAATTTTTTTGCTCAAATAAATCATAAAATATTTAGAGTTATACCTTAACAGGAAGGAGAGTCAGTGGATTAATATTTTATTTTTCAAAATATTATTTCTTTGCTTCTTCATCATGTCATGTGTTTGTTTACATTGAAATGAAAGCGAAAGTGACTTTATTGACATGGCAACAGTGTACTTAAGCTTATTGCGATATGCTTAGCTAAGAATGGCTAAGTATGTTCCTTAGAATTTTTATGCAATGGAAATTAAGCATATTACTCAGCTAAGAATAAACTTAAGACATTTAAGCATATACTTAAGAAAATTCTTAGAATTTTTATGCATACGAATCCTGTACTTTTGTGTCCAAGTGCTGAAGTGGGTCAATTGTCTCGGAGACACGTTTATTAGGTGTAAGAAGAAGGTATGGTTTTAGCTTTATTGCGCCCTAAAAATGTAATGACATAAAAAAAAATTGAAACTGGCTTAAATATTAGTTAAATAAATGACTGATAAATCAGGAAAAAACATGGCTCGAAGGATTACCATTCTGCAAATATGACGTCATTAATGTATAGCATTTCTCTGAAAAAGCCTCAAAATGGCCCATTTCAAGGATGATTTTCCTTTAGAAAATAGTGTTCACAACCGTCACCCACATAATTTTTTAGCTCTACTGGTCAGAGACCAGAAGAGCTTATGCGATAGTAATGCGTCCGTCGTCCGTCCGTCTGTCTGTCTGTCTGTCCGTCTGTAAACAATTTTTCAAAATGCTACTCCTCCTACAGTTTTGGTCTGATTTCAGTATAACTTGGCACACAAGTAGACTTTACTAAGATACATAATTCTGTGTATCGGTTTTTGATTTCGATGAACGGTGTTGCCGTGGTTACTAAAAATAGAAATTTCTGTGGAATTCTTTCAAAATGCAAAATGCTACTTCTCCTATAGTTTTGGTCTGATTTCAATATAACTTGGCACACAAGTAGACTACACGTAGATACATAATTCTGTGTATCGGTTTTTTATTTCGATGAACGGTGTTGCTGTTGTTACTAAAAATAGAAATTTCTGTGAAATTCTTTCAAAATGCTACTTCTCCTATAGTTTTGGTCTGATTTCAATATAACTTGGCACACAAGTAGACTACACTAAGATACATAATTCTGTGTATCAGTTTTTGATTTCGATGAACGGTGTTGCTGTGGTAAAATAGAAATTTCTGTGAAATTCTTTCAAAATGCTACTCCTCCTACAGTTTTGGTCTGATTTCAATATAACTTGGCACACAAGTAGACTACACGTAGATACATAATTAGGGCCCCGCAAGGATTTGCGGGTGCCCTATAGTAATCACTCTGTCTGTCCGTCCGTCCGTCCGTCTGTCTGTCTGTCTGTCTGTCTATCCGTCTGTCACTCTTCCGTCCACAAATTTTCTGTTTTTTCTAATAACTTTTTTTGTGGTTGCCCAATCAAGTTTAAATTTGGTATGGTAGTTTAATAGGCAGAAAGACATATTTTGATGCTAAGTTTGATTCTGTATGTCTTCGAGTTTGGAGCTGGGGTGGTGGGGTAGATTCCTAAACTATGCATAAGAATGAACGGGCAACTTTTTTTATGGTTGCCCAATTAAGATCAAATTTGGTATGGTAGTTCAGTAGGCAAAAATACATATTTTGATGCTAAGTTTGGTTCTCTATGTCCCTTGGTTTGGAGCTGGGGTGGTGGGGTAGATTCCTTAACTTTATATAAGAATGCATTGGCAAAGAGAGATAACTGCTGAAGATGTTCCCATTCAGTAAACTGAATGCTACTAGGAGTCCCATGAGATTAATTAGCTTTCCTCCTGAAGAAATTCCAGAGCATTATCTTTATCTGTCACTTTGAGATTAATTACCACCTCTGTCTGCAAATGAAGTTTGTTTTGAAGTTAAATCAATTTGGAATTCTATGAAATACTCTGATATGTGGATTTAAATATAAATTTTTATTATTTATTTTTGTTTGATAGTTATGATTTCATTGAATCCTAAAAAAAGAAATAGATTAAAGAAGATTTTTTGATTTACCAGGGTACTTTTTTTTTCACTTTTTTCCTTTTTTTTTAAATATATTAATTCAAGAATGTTTTTAATTTTTAATGTAGTTGTATAAAAACTCCGTTCTATCATTAATACTGAAAAAAGTCCTTATTGTAACTTTAGAAGAAAATGATGAGAGAGGTACAATTAATCCCTTGGGATTAATTATCTAGCCTGCTGCAGAAAATTTAGTAGGCTTCTCTTTATCTGTCACTTTAAGATTAATGAAAACCTTTGTCTGCAACTGCTGTTTGTTTGAAGTTAAGGTCAAGCCTTCATGATATTTGCATTCATTGAAGGCTGGCATTTTATATAACACAAGATTCATAATTGTTTAAATATAAATTCAATGTTAAGTTGTTCTTTACTGCCTAATGTAAATACAAGAATATTATTTTCAGGTTTTTGAATATTCAGGAATTATGTTGAAATTTTAAGAATACAGTTGCTGTTGCTTTTTCTTTGTACATTTATTAATCATTCTGTAAGCTGCACCCTTTTAATTCTACCCCATGGCGGGGCCCTTGCTGACTGGTCAGTTTTCTAGTTCTGTATATCAGTTTTTCACTTCAATGAATGGTGTTGCCATGGTTACTAAAAATAGAAATTTCTGTTAAATATTCTTAAAATGCTACTCCAAATACAGTTTTAGTCTGATTATAATATAATGTGGCATGCAAGTAGACTACACTTAGAACATAAAGAGACTTAATCAAGGATCATTATTCCATTTATTGCTGTTGAAAAGTTTCAATATCCAACTGCGTAAGTACTTTTCTCTTCCTCTGCTATAAGTACAAACCAGTAGAGCTTCAGTCTCGACAGAGACTTCTGGTTTATATTTACATTTGCCAATGTCTTTCCTTATATGACAATACTAAAAATATGAAATTCAATTTTCGATGACATGCAGTCGGTCACATGATCAGACTTTCTTGCGTATGGAAAACAAACTGCACGTGCAATTTTGAAAGTTCCGACTGTGACGTCACATAACGCCATAGCAATGTTACGTTGCTGTTCAAAATCTAAGTCTAAATAATGCCTAATTTGTTTATAAAATGAATGAAAACGTAAAATATAAATATAAGAAATAAAATATGATTTTTAAAATTTCATTGGGGTATGACATGAAGTCGGTACGTGATCAAATCTACTATAACGCCCTTCGGCGTTATAGAATTTGATCACGTGACCGACTTCATGTCCTACTCCAATGCAAATCTAAAAATGATATCTTATTTCATAACATTTTTTTTTGGAAAATTCAATAACAAATCACGTGTCAAGATCTTTGTGGGCGATGCCTGTTGTCAATGTTATCTGAAGGAAAATTCCATTGAAAATTGGTGTCTTCTGCATCTTTTGAAGAAAATATGGGAAAAGCACTTATGTTTATGACGTCATCATTAGCAATTAAAAATACATGTGAGAAAAGTGACTTGTATGATTTTTCTTTTAAAAGCATGAATTTTCAACTTTTACATCAGTTACAAAAATCATATTCTAGAAAATCGCAGGGCAAAATTTGTATAGAAACTATACATACCTTCTTCTTTATGTCTCTGGTCATCTAAGCGGAGGATCATAGAAGCAATAATTCATGATAAGTCACTTGACATAGATTTTACTGAATGGCTATATTGTGCTAAATACATTTTTATTTTTGTATTAATTTAGATGTCACACAATGAATTCAAAATTCCAACGATGCCAGTACAGTGCCAACTACAAAAAATTGTAGTGGCTCTTCACAGATGTAGACATAACATGAACAAAAGTGCTCTTGCGATACAAATCTGGGAAAACGCTGACCAAAAAAAGGAAATCAAAGAAGAAACAGTAGAGCTTCAGAGACTCATTGAAATTGAATTAAACTCCATAATCAATCTAGCAAGTAATGCAAAAGCAGAATCTTCAATTGTACACAACAAACTCAGAGAATTACAAAGCAAAGTTGCTCATCTTGAAGAAGAAATAAAAGACAAACACAAACAATGCGAATTTCTACAGCAGCAAGTTGATGAACTCAACTTTAAAGACATTGAAGCAGAGATGATTTCAGCGCCCAAACAGCAATTGCAATCCAAATCTGATCAAAAAAATGAAGTCAACTTCAAAGAAATTGAAGAAGAGATGGTTTCAGAACCAAATGAACAGTTGCAATCCAAAACTGATGATAAAAATTTGAAGGAGTTTTAAATTCATGCAGGGGAACTGTGGGATATAACTTTGCGTTTGATATAAGAATGCAGTTGCATTGATAACAGTTTCATTTTGACCAAAATGCTTATTTTTCTGAACTTATCTTCGAAGATATTGAAGATTTTCAAAGATATTAAAGAAATTTGTTTTGTAATTTTATGACATCCAATTTTGTGAAGTCTTTTGAGCAATTAAAGTTTGCAATAAAATTAAGGTGGTGTACGTGTAATATTAAAGTGCAGATATTTACATTTTTTTTTTTACAATTATACATGTATGTATAGATAGAAATGACCATTTTCTCAACACTAAAATAGATATCATATATTTTATTAAATGAAATATATAATAGACACTTAAAAAGCAATATGAGCTGCATGTTTGAGAATTTTATTTTGCTGTGAAATTGTGTTATTGTCATTAATGTGTATGTAGCCTAAATATTTATGATAAAAAATACAAAATAAAGTTTAAAAATGATTCAGGAGAAATATTTCTGTACAACCAAATATACAGTATTATATAAGAAATCATTATTGTACAGGACGACAATAATTCAATTTTGCTTCAATCAGAGCTTATAAAAAGTTCTTCTACAGCAAATATGAACAACAAACGTATATAAACATTCTTTTTTCCTGTCACTGTAATAATTAAGTACAAATTTGAAATATTTTTTTCCGATGTCAAACATGCAGCTCATATTGCTTTCATGACATATATTAACATACTAGTATACTCTCTCTCTCCCTCTGTAAACACTTTCCTTTTTTCTTTTTCTTTTTTAAGTTTATATTTTTTGTACCTTTTCATTTTTTTTATTTCATTTTTTTTATTTTATCTTGAATATCATACAACGACATTAGAACCTAACAAATAACATTCAATTACGTCAATGTGAAATGATCCTTTCTCCTAAGCTTGCTTGCATAAGTTTAATTTTTTCATACCTTAAATTACTAAAATTTGATAGAAAGAAAAAAATTCATGAAAAATTGTTTTTAAGCAAGTATTTCTGGTTATCAGGTCATTCCTCAAGTTTGGGACATTATACCCGTCAAATTTACATATGAAATTTATCCCCTTAAAGGTTTTTTTTTTTTCTTAATTTTTTTCCCATGAATCTAACACACAATAATAATATTTACAAGAAAAATAGATATAGCATTTATTTTAAACATCTTTTTATCTTTGCGTTTTTACTTAATCAGGGGATTTACTGATCAGTTTGCTATAGTCCGACATTGTTATGGTCCGACTTATCTGTCAGCGAATCAGGGCATTAGACCCCCCTCCCCCCCGCGAGGAGCTCCGAATGAATGTTATTAGTGACCATCGACTGTGATATGCTACTCTCGATAAATAATGTTAAACCAGGGTAAGTGTTTTCAACTCATCGTGAAATATTTTAATCTCTTTTAGGATATTACTGACACACCATTTAACTACGTATGTTAATAATAAATTCGAGAACGCGTTAAGAATTTGCGAAACAAATTGGCGTTTGATTCATGGCGCCATTATTCCACAAGCATGACAAGTGACAGAAAATGATTCTGTCTCATTATGTGCCTTTCTTGATATATACAAGATTTTAGTTCAGTGCATAACATATATGCTTAACATCATCGTTGAACATAGCTGCAGATCTGTAGCTCTCCTAAAAATATATATTGGCAGACGGCGGAGAGGTACAGTGCCACCCATTGAACAGGTTGGGACCACTCGCTCAAATGGGATATAATAGGACATTTGGAATAGAATGTCCCAAATGGGCTATAAATTTTCAGTGCAAAAAAGGAAAAAAATTATTTTGGATATTAATATCATAAATCCGCACGAGGGCACCTAAATCTGAATAACTTTTGGTAAGCAAGTTTTTATGCAATCCTATAGTTTGTAAGATTGATCCCCAATAAGTTGAGGAACTTCCAAGGGATCGATCTCCTAAACAATGGCCCTGCAGAAAAACTTGTCAACCAAAAGTTATTCCTTTATAAGTGTCCTGATGCGATTTATGATATTTAAATCCAAAATAAAAATTTTCATTTATATCCCATTTGGGATATCCTTCACTCCTCTATCAAGTACTTTCGTAGTTTACATTTGTAAGAAACGCACAAGACAGAAATGTCTTGCAAATCAAAATGGCATTATCAATAGGCGTAATTTTAGTTGGTATCAATTTCAGGGCTAGGACGGCTATTAACAACAAATAAAAAGTAGATTTTTTTGTAGAAATAGTGGAAGATTATTAGAGGAACACAGGGTTATTAATATTTTGAGATGACAGTTTTAAAAACAAAGAGAAATATATCGAGAAAAGGAGCACTGTTTGGTGTGCAATAAATGTACAGTTTTTCAGTGGGTGTCACTTTATAGCCCTCTGTCAATATATATTTTTCAGAGATCTGCAGCTGGGTTGAACAGGTCCAAAAAATAATTCCCCAAGTAGCTAGGAAATTATTAACATCTATTGGTGATCGTATGTATCTATTTTTCGTATGGTACAATTGAAGACAATACACATACCTCAGAAATTTCTTTTTTTTTCAATTATTGGATGATAAAGTTATGGTTTTCACTCTCTTTCATATGTCTTTTAGTTCCTATTCTTTGGTTAGAATGACAAATGCACTAAAAGATTTAAAATTGGTTTGAAACTGGAATGTTTTGTATTATCCGCAATGCCATGCTGTCCCAGTCTGACGACCAAACGCGCCTCTAATTCTGAAGAGCTCACTAATGGAAATACAACATATTCTGTCAGACAAGACAATTTAGACAAACTCCAAAAACTGTGTGAATGCTGAAAATGAAGTCTTCAGCTCCATAATGCATTGTGGCAAAATGATGTCCGATGTCAGCAAACAATAGGTTGTCGTTCGCTTTCAAAACATTATAATAGTTCCATTTTGCATATATTTCACTTGGTCATGCATATCTATTTCTCAGTAATTGATATGACTTAAAATGTTAACATTGAAAGTGAATATTTCATCTTTTTGTAAATACAATCAAAATACTGTAGAAGTACTTTTCCCTAGTGGTATTAATTTAAGCTATGTACATGGTCACAATTTCACTGCAGAAATTTGTCCCAATCGTATTCAAAATATGTGTAAGGAATATAGCGAGAGTTCATGGAATCTGCATAATGTCCTACCTGCGGACTTAAGAGAAATAGAAATTTGGCTGAATCATGACCCCATGGAAAATAATACATCTACAGCAGTGTTTTCAATAAGAGCCAGTAACCAACAAAATTAACCACCTAGTGTTTGAGAAATTCTGCCAGCTATGAAATTTCTGTCATGATTATGATTTTGGCAGGGCATGAAATCCATAGACTTTATTGCAACGGGTTTTATTAAAACTATTTCCATAATCAGGAGTAACATCCCCTTAGTGTGCTCTTTTTTCAAGGAAGTTTGATTTCATCATTAACTTCAAGTAACAGCAGCCATCACAAAATGTTAAAGGAAAGTCGTGGAGATACATCACTGCTGCTCCTGTAAAACATGCATTTCAGTTCACATAATTAAAGAGGCATAAAAAATGGGCCCTTCCGAAAAGATTTATTTGTGTTTTATAATTTTGAATTTAAAATTGAGTGTGCAGCAGCCTCTATATAAAGTGAGGGGTTCCCTGGTGAAGTAAATTCGTTTAACTCCTTGTGTTTAATTATAGGTATTACATATTGTTTTCTTTTGTTATTTCCTGAAAATTTGCTTATGCCATTTTTTTTACAACATTTTGTCTCAAATATGATTGCCCTATCATATCTCATTTAGAAATTTAAATATCAATTCTGAAAGTCAAGGTCAATAGTTCACAAATCATAGCAGCATGAACATATTTGTCACAGGTAATGCACATGTCAAATATGAAAGTCATATCTCTTCTCAATATAAGAAACAAAATGTGTTTCTGAAACACTGAGGACCTCTAATGTCAACATAGAAAAGTTTAAACTTTTCTGAATTGAAAATTAAATATATTATAAACAAATTTCTTTATTAAAAGTAGGTCAAACTCCAAGGTCAAGGTCATTCTTGAGATCCATTGAAAGGTCCTGTCACAATGATAAAATACGTGACACATAAAAGCACTAGTACAAACCCTTTGAAAGTAATGGTCAAGGTTTGTTTTTTAAAAGTAAGTTTAACTTCAAGGTCAAGAAGTTGAAGTTCTTTGTATCCAATTTAGGTGTCTTCTCACAAAAATTATATATGTGAAGTATGTAAGCCCTATTCCTAACATTCAAAAGTTATGGCCAATGTTAAATTTTTTTCACATGTACAGAAATCTCCTAGGTCAATGTCCATAGGTCAAAATATGGGTACCGAATGAAAGGCCTTGCCTTTATATATGTATATATATGAAGAATCTTTAAAATTTTCTTCACCAGAACCACTTGGCCGGGAAAGACGAAACTAATGTGAAAGCATCCTAGACTAGTGCAGATTCAAGTTTTTTCTAATGATGACCCCTGGAGGTAGAGCGGAGCTACAATTAAATATTAAATTTTTACATAGGAATATATACAAATGAATATAGCAAAAATCTTTTAAATGTTCAAGAACCACTGTGCCAGTAAAGATGAAATATATATGGAAGCATCCTCAGGTAGTGTACGAAGATTCAATTTTGTTTAATTCATGACCCCAAGGGGTAGGGCTGGGCTGCAACTAAAGATCAAAGATTTACATAGGAATAAATAGGAAAAATCATTACAAAATTTCTTCTCCAGAACCACTTGACCAGGAGAGACCAAACTCATGAGAAAGCATCCTCAGGTAGTGCAGATTCAAGTTTGTTCACTTCATGACCCCTAGGGGTAAGGAGGGGCTACAATTGACAATTAAAGTTTTACTTAATATATATATATAAGAAAAATCTTTTAAATATTGTTCTCTAGAACCACTGTGCCAGTAAAGATCAAACTTACCGGTATATCGAAGTATCCTCAGGTTGTGCAGATACAAGTATCTTCAAATCTTGACCCCCTGGGTAGGGCGGGGCCACAATTTAGGATCAAAACTTTACATAGGAATATGCATGTATAGGAAAACTTTAAAAATCTTTTTTTCAAGCCTTCAAGAGTCACTTGTGCTTTTAATTTACATCTAATTAGCATTAAAGGTAATCAGTTAGTCCAAGACTTCTACATTTTCAACCAGACTAATAAAATCTTTGGCTAATTAGTCTGAACAGACTTATAAAACTTTCTAAAACAAGATGTACGTGTGAAACACTCCTTGCCCGGTTTCAACAGAATTTGAAACAAGTTATTTTTAGAATATACGTAACAGTCAAGGTCACCAGGTCATTGACCTTGGTGTTTCAAATTGTTCTATATCAGAAAAATAAATTTTACTAATTACTAGTATTGTACACATAATTCATTTCTGTTGTCATGTTCTAATTTTATGTCTTATGTAAATTTCATGAACTTATTTCATTGGTGTTTCAATTTTATAAATAGTTCCATGAAGTTACACAGTAAATTAACCCTGACATCCTTTGAAGAAAATGTCAAGAAAGAAAAAAAAAGTTGGTGAAAGAACAAAAAGAGAAAAAGACAGAGAGAGAAAGCGACAGAAGCGGTGTCAACAATTTGCAAGAAAAAGTCAAAACAATATTCCAATTGTACAACAAAACCAACCAAAGAATCAAAACAATATTCCAATTGTACAACAATACCAACCAAAGAATCAAAACAATATTCCAATTGTACAACAAAACCAACCAAAGAATCAAAACAATATTCCAATTGTACAACAAAACCAACCAAAGAATCAAAACAATATTCCAATTGTACAACAAAACCAACCAAACAAAAGAAAACTAGAAGAAACGATAAATGGAGAAATAGAGGGGAAGAAAGAACCACAGGTACAACACAGACAAAAACAAACAAAGAATTCTGTTAAGATCATGACAGAAAGAAAAGAAAAACAGACAGAGATAGAAAGAGAAAGCTGCAAAACAATCATCTCTGTTGAGACAATGGTTTGTACTTATAGCAAAACCTTTTCAACAGCAATTAATAGAATAATGATCAATTAAGTCTCTTTATGAACTTGCATGCCACATTATATTATAACCAGACTAAAACTGTTATTTGGAGTAGCATTTTGAGAGTATTTAACAGAAATTTCTTTTTTTAGTAACCACGGCAACACCGTTCAACGAAATCAAAAACCGATATACAGAATTATGTATCTTAGTGTAGTCTACTTGTGTGCCAAGTTATATTGAAATCAACCAAAACTGTAGGAGGAGTAGCATTTTGAAAGAATTTCACAGAAATTTCTATTTTTAGTAACCACGGCAACACCGTACATCGAAATCAAAAACCGATACACAGAATATGTATCTTAGTGTAGTCTAAAGTTATATTGAAATCAGACCAAAACTGTAGGAAGCATTCTGAAATTTCTATTTTTAGATTCATGATACACAGAATTATGTATCTTAGTGTAACTTGTGTGCCAAATATTGAAATCAGTAGGAGGAGTAGCATTTTGAGAGAATTTCACAGAAATTTCTATTTTTAGTAAAGAGAAATCTTAGCTACTTGTTTGCCAAGTTATATTGAAATCAGACCAAAACTGTAGGAGGAGTAGCATTTTGAAAGAATTTCACAGAAATTTCTATTTTTAGTAACCAAACACCGATTGAAATCAAAAACCGATAAAGAGAATTATGTATCTTAGTGTAGTCTACTTGTGTGCCAAGTTATATTGAAATCAGACTAAAACTGTAGGAGGAGTAGCATTTTGAAAGAATTTCACAGAAATTTCTTTTTTTAGTAACCACAACAACAACGTACATCAAAATCAAAAACCGATACACAGAATTATGTATCTTAGTGTAGTCTACTTGTGTGCCAAGTTATATTGAAATCAGACCAAAACTGTAGGAGGAGTAGCATTTTAAAAGAATTCCACAGAAATTTCTATTTTTAGTAACCACGGCAACACCGTTCATTGAAATCAAAAACCGATACACAGAATTATGTATCTTAGTGTAGTCTACTTGTGTGCCAAGTTATATTGAAATCAGACCAAATCTGTAGGAGGAGTAGCATTTTGAAAAATTGTTTACAGACAGACAGACGGACAGACAGACAGACAGACGGACGGACGACGGACGCATTACCATCGCATAAGCTCTTCTGGTCTCTGACCAGTAGAGCTAAAAATTAAAAGGTCAATAACTATAGCAACACACTTTAGGCAACTTGTGACAGATGGACCCCAGTATGTTTGCTGTGTATGTCATAAGTTCAAATTTAGGAAACAGGTTCTTTGTATGAAAAAGAAATATTCTAAAAAAGGGAAAAATACGAAAACAATGGCTAATCAGTGTATAAGTAACAAATTTCTTTCAAGCTGTACTAAGGGCTGCAGTAAAAAATGTACATTAAAAAACCACAAATTATGGATTTGTTACACGTGCCACAGGCATCTTCTGAAAGGCGAAATGCCTGCTGATGCTGATGCTAATAACCTGAAATTGAAACCTATTCCACAGGAGCTCAGTACAATGAATACCTTAGAAAAACAATTAATTTCACTCAGAATACCCTTCATGAAGCTTATTACCCTGCCAAAAGGAAATCAAAGAGGAGTTATGGGACCATGTGTTTCTATTCCAACGGATATTGAAAAAACAACTATTCTGCCTAGAAATGAAGATGAAAGTCAGCTCATCAAATGCAAACTAAAAAGAAAACTGTCATATAAAGGTCACATCCTAGTATCAATTTGTCAATCCAAAGAAAATTTGTGAAGGTTTGAAATACCTTCAACAAAACAATCCTTTTTATGAAAACAAAACTATAAATCAATCATGGGAAGAAAGTGTTCCTGACCACGTAAGTGACATGACAGAATCAACTGAACTTTACACAGAAGAAGACAATAAAAATGAATCTCAAAATATGGAACTTAATGATTGCGACCATTTCTCAGGAGAAGAAGAAGAAGCATTAAGAATACGTGGTATGCCATCAGAAACATGTCTTCAGCCAGTGGACATAGGTCAAGAAATTCTTGACCAAAACTTTGATGAAATATTTTGCATAGCACCAGGTGAAGGAAATACTCCTGTCAGCATGCTACAAGAAGTAGGCAACGAAGCCATGTCTTTCCCTGTGCAGTTTCCTAGCGGACAGTTTGGTACCTATGATGATGAAAGAAAAATTCGCCTAACACGTTCACATTACTTCCATTCCAGACTTCTTAATGCTGATAGTAGGTTCTCCAGTGACCCTTCATACATATTATATGCACAATATTTATCTGAACTTGAACAGATTATATCTAAAGTTTCTATCGCGTTAAGAAAAGGTACTGGAAAAAATGCAGGAAATAAAATTACTGCCAAGATGATAACGGATAGAAGTCAACTTAAAAAAAATTCTGACCACTGATCAGGGCTATCAATTCATGACACCAATCCGAGGAACACCGCCGTATTGGCAATCAACACTGCGAGACCTTATGGCTATGATAAGACAACTTGGTATACCCACGTGGTTTGCTACCTTTTCAGCCGCAGACATGAGATGGACCGAAATGTTACAAGTACTTTTGGAACAACAAAATTACACACAGTCACTTGAAGATATGGATTGGATACAAAAATCTGAGATATTGAAAAATAATCCAGTTATGGCTGCTACCATGTTTGACCATAGATTTAAAACCTTCCTTAACCAGGTTATTATTAAAAAAGGTGTCATTGGAAAAATCAAAGATCATTTTTTTCGAATAGAGTTCCAGCAGCGAGGGTCGCCACATGCACACTGCTTGTTTTGGGTGGAGGATGCACCACTTCTTGATCAAGATAATGATCAGACAGTTTGTGACTTTGTTGATAAATTCATAACTTGTGAAATGCCTCCTGAAAATACTGATCCTGAACTATGTGAAATAGTGAGCACTACCCAACAGCATAGTAAAAATCATTCCAAAAGTTGCAGAAAGAAAGGAACAACATGCCGTTTCAACTTCCCACGCCCACCTTCACAAAGAACATTTGTGTCACGCACCCAAAGCATCACAGATCCATCAATAACACAGACACCACAACAACTCCAATCCGCTGCAAAAGATACATTGACAAGACTTTGGGATGTTACCAACAGTGTTGAACTTCAAAACATCAAGACAACCTCTGATTTATTTGCTGCAGCACAAATGTCTCAGGAGGACTTTGAAACTGCATCAAACATTTTAACAAAGAGAACCAGCATTGTTTTAAAGCGGGAACCAAATCATTTGTGGATAAATCAATATAATCCTGACCTCCTCCGTTGCTGGAATGCTAACATGGATATCCAGTACATCACTGATCCTTATTCATGTGTTATGTATATCATTTCTTATATCTCTAAAGCAGAGAGAGAAATGGGACTTGTCTTAGAAAATGCAAAGAAAGAAGCAGTAGAAGGTAATGCAGATGCACAACAAGCCATGAAGAAGATTGGAGCAGCATACTTTCGTCAGCGTGAAGTGAGTGCTCAAGAGGCAGCATATCGAGTATGTGGTCTCCACATGAAGGAAACATCCAGGAAAGTCCAGTTTCTTCCAGCTGGTGATGACCAAGTTAAATTGAGTTTGCCACTTCATTTAATACAAAAAAGGGCCCATGAAGTAGATGATGAGAATATCTGGATGCCATCGATATACGATAAGTATAAGGCAAGACCTAGTTTGCAGGAGTTTGACCAGCTCTGTTATGCAGCATTTTGTTCTGAATACCGTATTCTGTCTGCCTCACAGGTTCCCAAGAACAGAGCTCATATTCATGAGCTTCAGAATAACCTGGGTTTTATTCAAAAGCATACTAGAACACAAGCAAGCATAGTAAGATATCCAAGATTTTCTGAAAAGAAAAATCCTGATTTGTTTTACAAATCAAGCTTACAACTGTTTCTACCTCACAGAACAGATCAAGAATTAAAACCTCAGAAATTCCACTCATATGAAGATATGTATTTCAATGGTGCAGTGGCCCTAACATTATCACTCCCACCACAAAAAGTAAAAACAATTATAGAAAGTAACAGGCAAAAGTTCGAACACAATGCAGATGTCTTAGATGAAGTTCACAAGTTAATAGAAAGTAATGGTCCCCTTGAAGATGCATGGGCTTCCATTGCACCTGAATCTGAAGTTGAACGAATAGAACTTGAAGAACAAAAGAAACACCTGGATGAAGAAGATTATACAGAAATACCTGAACTGGAAACTCCAAGCAAAAGACAAAGTAAGCCAGGTGATTTTGAAATCAGCAATAGCCTATTTACCAGCAGCCAAATTCAACCTTTATTACGCCAACTCAATGAAGAACAGAAAGAAGTATTCTACAGTGTCAGACAGTGGTGCTTAGATCATGTTCATGGTCAGCAGCCAGAACCATTTCGTATTTTCATAAATGGAGGAGCTGGCACAGGGAAAAGCCACTTAATCAAATGTCTATACTATGAAGCCAATAAAATTTTATCTCCAGAAACACCTAATCCAGATGACATTGTTGTTCTCCTCACAGCTCCTACTGCAACTGCAGCGTTCAACATTGGTGGGACTACGCTTCACCAGGCATTTTCACTTTCTAAATCTCTACCCCTTCCATATCATTACAAAAGAGATGACGAACTGAACAAACTCCGTACCAAACTTCAACACCTAGTAATATTGATCATTGACGAAATATCTATGGTAGGACAGAATATGCTTATATACGTCAGTGAGAGACTTCGTCAGATCAAACAGAGTGGAAATGCTTCATTTGGAAATGTCTGTGTTATAGCTGTTGGAGATTTTTTCCAATTACCACCTGTCAAGCAAAAGTGTCTTTATGACCTCCGACCAGAAAATGTTCTAGAACTATGGAGCTCAAATTTCTCATTGGTTCAGCTTAACAAAATTATGAGGCAGAAAGATGATGCTCAATTCGCAGCCTTATTGAATAGACTTCGTGTAAAGAAGAAATCAGAGACTTTGCTACCTCAGGATAGATCAATTTTGGAAGCCTGCACACAACATACAATTCCATCTGATGCTCTCCATATCTTTGCTACCAATAAAGAAGTGAATACTCACAACTCTAACATGATTACTGAGATTTGCAGTAATATTGAGACAATATCAGCACAAGATTTTGATAAACATTCTCAGTCAGGAAAGCTCATACGAAAGGATTCACCATATGACACAACACATGACTTTCTACCAGCTCATTTGCTTATAGCACCAAAAGCAAGAGTGATGTTGATAAGAAATATTGATATTTCCATTGGACTTTTGAATGGTGCTATTGGGACAGTCACCAGCATCCTGCCATCTTCGACAAATTCAACATTACCAAAGAGTATTCAAGTACTTTTTGACAATGAAAAGATTGGTAAAAACAAATCAAATCAGGGAAAACAGTCTGTGTCCATTGAACCATTTGAAGAGAACCTGAACAACAATGCTATCAGGCATCAATTCCCATTACAGTTGGCATGGGCCTGTACAACCCATAAAGTACAGGGCATGACAACAGATAAAGCAGTAGTATCATTGAAACACACCTTTGCAGCTGGCATGGCCTATGTCGCACTAAGCAGAGTGAGATCTATGGATGGTTTGGTTATTAAAGACTTTGACGAGGACAAAATTTACTGCATTGAACAGATATCAGATGCTTTAAAAAGAATGCCTCAATTCGTGCCTCTGCCACATCACACATGTACTGAGCAGGATCATATTCAAATTCTGCTTCACAACATACAAGGATTAATTCCTTACTTTGATGATCTACTTGCAAATTCTGACAAAAATAAGGCACATTTTATTTGTTTAACTGAAACATGGTTGGACAACTCAACACATACTCCACAAATTAACAACTTCAGTCTGATTCACAGACCACGTAATTCCTGTTATTCTACAGAACTGCCTTTATTTAGAGAACTTAAGGACAAAAAGCATGGTGGAGTTGCCATTTATGCGCGTAATGATCAGCAATATCATCAGTTGTCATTTCATTGTTGTAACCTTGAATATGTTGCTGTGAATATACCTGAAATTCAAACAAATCTTGTTACTGTGTACAAACCGGAATCTTATCCAACATCAATTTTCATGAAGGAACTACATTGCTTACTACAGATGATTCAGAAAGAACACATGGCAACCATCTTACTTGGTGACTTTAATGAAGATATCCTGAAACCTAACACTCAAATCAAAACTTTTCTTGAAGGACGTGGATATGTACAAATAATTGATAAACCAACTACAGATGGATACACCTTGATTGATCATGTGTATGTTAATGGACATATTCAAACATCTGCAAAAGTTCTCCAGACTTACTACAGTTACCATAATATGATTTCAGTACAAGCAAAAATGTACCCTTTTACATGATACTTAGAGACACATAAACATTTATAATAACCAGTAAGTATGGTCACTTCTATGTGATTTTTTCCCTGTCATCATTTTGTTTCACTTGAGAAATAGAACAGCTGTTCTAAAAAAATTTTTTTTTGCTATAACATTGTTCATATTTTTTTTTTAGGTTGTTCATGAAAGATAAAGGATCTCCATGATTCAAAGTTACAAGTTATTAATTCATTTTAAATTTCCTTCAAAGAAAAGCTTAGAAAAAAGGTAAGAGAAGTTTTAAATGTATGTACATTACTTTTTATTTCTACAAAAAAAAACACACACACAGAAATGAATACAGTGTACAATCTTTTATTTAATTGGATACATCCTTCTCTAAGCATATTTGTGTTGACCAAAATAGTTTTATTTAAAATTGCTGTATGATTGTAACAGCATGTACAGCAATCCATCTGTGTACAACATTTACATTTCATTAATATCTAATATATGTTAAGATGACAAGTCTATAATAGTTTAATCTTAATTTCCTGCTCTAAGTACCTCTTCTTTATATCACCTTACCTAAAGCTTTTAAGCCCAAGTTAGCTTAAATTTCTGATCACCAGGTGAACAGTGTGGCCCATTAGCCTATTTATTTAATTGTTGAGTCTGTGAAACAAGTAAATGGAATGGACCACACATCATTCTTATTTTAAATTATAAGTGTGTATCTTAAAGTACAATACAGTTTCCTTCAAACTTAACAAATAACATTTATTTCTTTTTAGCTCCAACCAGGATTCAAACTTCAGATGTGTTTCCCTTGATCATCACAATGGGATACGATACTTTGGTCTCCCTCAAAAGTGAAGCTTACCCCTACAACTTGAAGCACATGCAAGATTTAACTTCACAAGTCTTCATTAAGAAGAACTATTACTGTGTTTTGCATCTTTCAGTTCACCTTCTATTATTTACTTGTAAATGTGTTGTCAAAATTTCATATTGAAATCTACGTGAAAAATGTGTTTATTTTGCAACTCACTTTTATTGTACTTACTGATAATTTTCTCAAGACAAATAATTTTCTCTCAAAGCACACTCTACTGCACATGGATATGCATGTAATTTAAAAAATTATGAAAACTCCATAATAATTTTTAAAATTTTAATGTTAAGCTTTCATGAATGTACAATAAATGTGTTCAACTTATTCACCCTCAGATTTCCATGCTATTACATTCTTAATTTAAAAAAGAAGTGTAGTAAAAACAATCAAGAGGGTATTATCTTAAAAAGAAATACATTTATATCATACATGTATGTAGTATTTCCCAATTTTATCAGTGCTAGTATTATTTCTGATAACAGATACTTTTGCATTTCTTCAATATGTTGACTGCCATATACTCAGCTAGAGCATTCAAATTCTCTTTTATAAAGGTAGGGTAAGATGTACAGAAAGCAAGCACACCAATAACAGTTTTAGGTCATATTCACTGTGACATAAGAATATTGGATATAAGGAACTTTGCTTAATATATAATGAATCAAACCATCACTATCTGGCACTTTGTTATTTAACTGTGTTAACTGTAATTCAGTAATTATTATATTCATGTACCTCATAATAACTAAGTCATTCAGAACAGATAGTTAGACTAGCAAAAGGAAGAAAAAGTCATTGCAACCAAAATAACTGATTTAATTGAGATATAAAAATTAAGAATTCAATTGGGTCAAACATTAATTGTTATGAAAAGGGACATAACTCTGTAAACCTAGCAATTTTGATTTCAGGAAAATTATTTTTTTCAAAATTGCTCTGATTAGAAATATTTCTTATACATTATTTACATAACTTATTTTGTATATCTTCAACGTAGAAAACTGCAGTAAAACATGAACAACAATTCATCATAATGACATGTTATATCCCTTTCTCCATAGTTATTGATGTAAACTAAAATGATGCTTTTCACTTTTTTTGCTTCATATTTTACTCAAGAAATTATTTGAGACTACAGTTTATTTTAATGTTCATAAACTCAGTTATGATTAATTTTATGATATACAATTAAAATAAAGGGAGATAACGATCAGTTTGATTCACATTTAAGATTACCAAAAAATCGGTTGTTGCCATGGGAATGTGAAAATTCTTAAACTCTGATTTTTTTCATCAAAGTACTGGTAGGACTGATACAAGTTGAAAGTTCTCCCAGCTTAGCTAATGGGTATTGTTTTACAGATGAAAATCTTGTCCAGTTCGGGGCGACATACGCTATTGCTTGCAATAGCAGACTTTCAAGTTTATTCTTTTTTTTCTTTACAAAATTTGTACATAAGATTTTTTTGAGATGGCTCGTTCGATTTTATTCAGATTTTCAGATTTTATGTGTTTTTATCTGAAGTTTGTATCGGCGCTTCGATTATGAAAAATTCACTTCCGGTCGGAAGTTATCGCCCTTTGATCAAAATTTAGAGCACCTCCTTGTCTGTCATGTAACTCAAAAACGGCTCAAGCTAGAAAGCTGAAATTTTCAGGGATAATAGAGGACATGTTGCCATAGTGCGCCTGGGTCAGGATATTTTCCGGAAGTGCCTAGTATGGAAGCTCGGTAGGGGTCAAAATTTAGGACACGAATCATGACTGATTTTTTTAGACATTTTGTATTGTATCTTTTAAAGTATAATCATTTTGTTAAAACATATTGAACAATACTTGTGCAGAATGACAAGATCTTTAATATGATATCAAGAAAAAAGTGCTGACTCATCACATTAGGGGCCAAAAGGGGCCAAAAGTCTTTTTTCGATAACACTTTAACAGTCAATATTTTGTAATACATTACTGAAACAAAAATGTCTATCTCAACAATCTACAACTGCATATTATAATTTTAAGGTCATATATTACATAATTAGGGGCCACAAGGTGTCAGAAGGCTAAATCTTTGACGCTTTATATCTCGAAAGTGAGAAATATTTTGACAAGTAATATTGAACAAAAGATATTTAAAATCATGTTCTGAACAATATGCAAGCTTTCATTTTTCACTAAACGTCCCCATTAGGGAGTTGAAGGGTTGGTCCCTAAATATTTCTTTTGCAAATAACTCGGAAACGAATAAGAATCTCTGAATAGTTGATGAACAAAAAGTGTTCAAAATCCCGAGAACTTCAAAATGAAATCCAAGAAAAGGGGCTAGGCACTCAAATTATCGGCCAAAAGGGGCCAAAAGTCTTTTTTCGATAACACTTTAACAGTCAATATTTTGTAATACATTACAGAAGAAAAAATGTTAATCTCCACAATCTACAACTGTATATTACAATTTTAATGTTGTATATTACATAATTAGGGGCCACAAGGGACCAGAATTCCAAAAACTTTGACGCTTTTTTCTCGAAAGTGAGAAATATTTTGACAAGTGATATTGATCAAAAGATGTTCAAAATCATGTTCTGAACAATTTGCAACTTTTTATTTTTCGCTAAACGTCCCCATTAGGGAGTTGAAGGGTTGGCCCCTTGATATTTCTTTTGCAAATAACTCGAAAACGAATAAGAATCTCTGAATAGTTGTTGAACAAAAAGTGTTGAAAATCCTGAGAGCTTCAAAATGAAATCCAAGGAAAGGGGCTGGGCACTCAAATTAGGGACCAAAAGGGGCTAAAAGTCTTTTTTCGATACCTCTTTAACAGTCAATATTTTGTAATACATTACAGAAGCAAAAATGTTCATCTCAACAATCTACAACTTTATATTATGATTTCAATGTCGTATATTTCATAATTAGGGGCCACAAGAGGCCAGAAAGCTAAATCTTTGACGCTTTATATCTCAAAAGTGAGAAATATTTTGACAAGTAATATTGAACAAAAGATGTTCAAAATCATGTTCTGAACAATATGCAACCTTTCATTTTTCGCTAAACATCCCACATAGGGAGTTGAAGGGCTAGTCCCTTAATATTTCTTTTGCGAAAAACTCAAAAACGAAAAATAATCTCTGAATAGTTCTTGAACAAAAAGTGTTTACCATCCTGAGACCTTTAAAATGATATGAGGAAAAAAGGGCTGATCCCAAATTTTAGGGGCCTTGATAGGCCAAAAGACGATTTTAGAAGTCTATATTGTTCAATGTCTTTTTACAGATTATGGAAAATCATTAAATTAGAATGAAAATCTCAATTAAAATGGGATCTTATCTCATCAAGAATCGAACGGAAGACCCACTCGTTGCTCGCAACGAGATCGTATCTAGTTAAGGTCTTCCGTCTTCAGCGGAAGACCTTCTTATTCGTTTGTTTCTTTTCCACTGTTTTTAGGGTCTTCCGTCTCCAACGGAAGACCCTTCTATTATTCTTCGGTTTCTTTTTTACCTTTATTATTATTATTATTAAGGTCTTCCGTCTTCAGCGGAAGACCTACTTGTTATTCGTTTGTTTCTTTTCCACTGTTTTTCTTATTATTTTTTTTCTTACCGATTTTGTGCACGCGATTTCTCGAAAACGGCTCGTTAGATATTTATGAAACTTTTAGGTCTGATAGAACATATTTAAAACTTCATGCATTTTTTTCATTTTAATGACGTCACTTCCGGTTCGAAGATTTTCGCAATTTTGTGATTTTTAAGGGTCATTTTGTCCGTCGCTCTTCTTGAAAACCGCTCATCACAGGAAGATGAAACCTTTTCAGGAAGATAGAGCAACATATGTAGATTTGCATTGTGTTGTTAACTTTCACCGGAAGTACTGCACGTTAACGCTCGGTATGGACTGAAAAAAGTCATATTGAGCATTTCAAAATTTCTAACACTTTTTCTTTTATATCATTTTACTTGTAAATATTTTGTTAAAACATATAGAACAAAAGTTGTGAAGAATTCTGAGATCTTTCAAATAATATCTCAAAAAAAGGGCTGACCCCTAAAATAAGGGATCTAGAGGGGCCAAAAGTTTTTAATTGATATCTCAAAAAGTATTGAGAATTTGTAATACATCAAAGAAGCAAAGTTGTTTAAAATGTCAAACTTAATCCATTTGTGTCGTCAAAATACGTCCGGCGTCGTCACTTCCGGTCAAACCGGAAGTAGTAAAAAACAAGTATTTATGCCGTTTTTGTCAAGTTTTAGGTAACATATGTCTCTGAGAGCATAAAAATTAATTTTCTGTCCTTCGTCATCACTTCCGGTTTAACCGGAAGTAGCAAAAAATTGCATAATTTTGCATAAATTAACATAGTTTTAGAGGGTTCAAACCATTTTAAGACGTTATTTCTCATTTTTGTTACAAATAAAAGCTACTTCCGGTAAAACAGGACGGAAGACCTACTCGTTGCTTTGCAACGAGCTCGGCTCTAGTTTTTATTCTTTTTTCTTCTTACAAAATTTGTGCAGAAGATTTCTCGAAGATGTCTCGTTCGATTTGCTTCAAATTTTCACAGTCGATGCGTTGTCATCTGAAGTTAATTCCGGCAAATTATTTTTTGGAAATTCACTTCCGGTCGGGAGTTATCGCCCTTTGATCGAAATTTAGAGGTCCTCCTTGTCTGTGATGGAACTCAAAAACGGCTCAAGCTAGAAAGCTGAAATTTTTAGTGATGATAGAGGACATGTTGCCATATTGCAACATGGTCAGGATATTTTCCGGAAGTGCCTAGTATGGAAGCTCGGTAGGGGTCAAAATTTAGGACACGTTTTTTGAGTGATTTTTTGAGACATTTTGTATCATATCTTTTAAAATATAAATATTTTGTTAAAACATACTGAACAACATTTGTGCAAAATATCAAGATCTTTAATATGATATCAAGAAAAATGTGCTGACTCATCAAATTAAGGGCTGAAAGGGGACAACAGTTTTTATTCAATAACTCTTTTAAAGTCAATATTTTGTTATACATTACTGAAGCAAAGATGTTTATCTCAACCATCTGCAACTATATATTATGGTTTTTATGTCGTATGGTACATAATTAGGGGCCACAAGGGGCCAGAATGCTAAATCTTTGATGCTTTATATCTCGAAAGGGAGAAATATTTTGATAAGCAATA